CTAAGATATACAATTTAGAATCGTCGAAGTAATGATGAAACGGAAACGATAAGATTAATTTGATTTAACTTATGTAGTAGTGTACATATGCTTGCACAAAGTTACAGTATGAATCATATGTTATTATGTAATAGTTANCCAGTTTCAAGAGGAAAGGAACATAGATAGTATTTGATGCCCTAAACGACATTCAATTTTTTACTTTTGCGCATCAAACTGCCTATTCATGTAATAAGCTATTTGTGTAAAAGAAAATATAATAGTCTTACTCAAAAAGTACTTCTCCTAAGTTAAGTGTATGATTATTTTTATTAAAGATGTTCACGTACAGTCATTGTTATTTTCACCCACCCATTGTCTCGTAATCTATAAACAATAATCGTTTTATATGTTTTATTTAATTATTTGTAATATTTATGTCAGTTCTTTTTTTACATTTGCTTGCGACAATAATATGCAATTGCCTGTGTTTGTTTCGTTTGGTTTCATTTGAAACAGTCAGGTAAATATTAAAAGAGTGCCGATAAAGTGTTCACATACACTGTACGTCTGTATGTAATATGCGAATGAACAAAAACAGAAATTTTTGAAAGTACAATCGTGCACCAATTCCGGTGCAAACCAGACTTATCTACTGTCCAAGGTGGATGAGAATAAAAAGAACATTCGAATGATAAGTAAAAATTTATTTATTAAAAATCGTGAGCTGTGACAAGAGTACTAAAATGAAAAGACACGGTAAACATTTAAAGAGGGTGGGAGTGATTTTTGGTTTGTAACATATGTAGATATAGACATAGACCGAAATAGGTTCGCTCTGCCGGTTACCTCGGTATTTGTGTATTATTCGCCAGTTCCGCGTAAGTGTAACTTGAATCGCAATGACTGCATTAAGCGGATTTATGGAGTTCTTTCAAAAAGGAAAGGTAATTTCTCTGTACGCTGTTTTAATTAACATTCAAACGTGTATTCTAACCTGTCACACAGTGTTATTGATTATTTCCACGCACATATTCGTTCTGACAGGTTTGAATTCAAAAAAATTATTCTATTCATCTAAATTTATTTAAATATTATTATCTTCTTGTTATACGCTGTTAGCAAGTCTTTATATCTATAAAATACATTTTACAAATTATTTATGATCTTAATGTTTCCTTCAATTCGACACTCTAGACATTTAGACCAAAGAAGAAATTTGCACACGGAACGTTGCGATATTCTTTGCACAAACAAGCACAAGCTTCACTTAATTCTGGGATTAATTTAAGGTCTGTTGTGAAACTACCACCTGGGGAGGATCTTAATGATTGGATCGCTGTTCATGGTACTTGATGACTTCATCAAAGAAATATTATACATATACTATTTCTTTCTAATGTTCAATATCATAATTTCAGTGGTAGACTTCTTTAATAGAATAAATCTAATATATGGTACTATTTCTGAATACTGTGATTCTGCATCTTGTCCCACCATGAGTGGTGGTGCTCGGTTTGAATATTTATGGGCAGATGGTGAAAAATATAAAAAGCCTACTGCATTGCCAGCACCACAATATGTTAGCCTCCTTATGGATTGGATAGAAGCACAAATTAATAATGAAAACATATTTCCAGTTTCAACAGGTATTGTGTTTTAACATTAAAAATGTTAATTTCTATATTTTATATGACAAAATTCATTTTTAGATGTACCATTTCCGAAAACGTTTGTACCTTTGTGTAGAAAAATTTTAACACGATTATTTAGAGTGTTTGTTCATGTCTATATACATCATTTTGATCGTATTGTGGCTATTGGAGCAGTAAGTCTTATGTTTCTATTAAAAATATTGTCATTGAGACTCTTATTCATTATTACTATTATTATTGTTTTAGGAAGCACATGTAAATACATGCTATAAACACTTTTACTATTTTGTAACAGAATTTGAATTAATAAATACAAAAGAACTAGAGCCACTGGCTGAAATGACTGCCAAAGTTTGTAAGGATACATCGCCAACGCAGACACCATCGCATAATCCTAGGTAGTCGCGAAACTTAAGAAAATATAAGTAACCGAATTAAAGAGAGGTAAAATTCTTTCAATATAAGTACAAAGATGAGAGCTCTCTTTTCCTAGCATTTTGTAAAAATAACCTGGAAAAATTGGTTACTATCCGGATAAAACAAAATATTAGTATACAATTTAGTATTATAAATAAGTATTACAATTTTGGTAATTATTCTTATTAGAATTTACTAAGTCAGGCATGAATCTCATTAGAAAGCTCTAACGTGTAACGTTTCAATTCATAATCCAATAATAATGATGTCAACGGAGTTCCATTAGTATGGTAAGAACAATTTCTTGATTTGGAATCATAATTTTCTGATCTATATATGTTCTTCGGATTAATTGTATTAAATAGGAAAAAGATTGCATTTATTATTCGTTTGCGAAATGCTATTTAAACTGAAGTGAAAACCTGAGAGATAATATAA